GCGAGTCGCTAGTAGCGAATCGCGCGATTCGCAAAGTCTGACATCGGCCATAACGATGCTCTTCCACCGATGACGTGAAGATCTCTTGCCCGCCTCTCAGCTAGCGCGACCGCTTCCTTTAACACGTTGACGACATTGTGCAGCGCATGCGCTGCACACTTGAGCACCGTGTGGGACCGTGTGCAGCGCATGCGCTGCACACACAAATATTTATTTTTTTCGCGCATGCGCTACTTCTTTTCTATTTTTTGCATTTATTCTATAGATCACATAGCGTCGTAACCATAAGCCCTTGAACATGAATATATAAAAAGTGGTAGAAGTGGCTCCATGGAATAGCTCACCGGCGGCGCGGATGCGAGCGCGTGCAGGTGACGTCAATTTGACGTCACAGCAGCGGGAGGGATTGGAGCAAGACAGGCGCCATTACTTTATAACATTACGTATTAGACACTATCGATTCTGACTTCACTGTGCAGTGAGTAGAAGTAATAACGAAGAATGGACTTATTGAAATCAACTTCGACTTAATTGCGCACTCGTTAGGTTTTAAACACGAAACCGTTCATTTCCTCACATTCGCAAACAAATTCCTAATTTTCGACGGCGAAAATTGTACCTACACAATACAACCTCTTTGCTCACGGCACTACTGACTGCACTAATTAGTGAATGCCAGCAACCCTTCTATCATTCAAGCGAAGTGACAGCAACGCTATCTCGCCCTCTCGTCGCCGTTTTTCGCAGCTGTGACGTCATCTGCACACGCTGGCGTTCGCGCTGCGGTGAGCTTTCTCTCCCCTCGGTAGAAGTAGTTACAGATCTACACGTATAGCAAGATGCATGTTTTAGTGGAGCAACCGCGTCAGAAATAATTTTGAGGTTCCACTACAGCAAAAGCAAGAAAATTGCCTTTCATTGCCAGAAAACGTCAATTCGATCGAACTTTTACAGTTGTCCCTTCTGATAAGTTTGACACATCGAATATCATTCGAAACATTTTGTTGCATCCGAGTTTTGCGTATTTAAAGCTCAAAATTCACGGATTTGATGTGAGGCGGCGGCGCCTGCAAAATCGCCGTGGTCCCACGCGGCGCAAAAACCCAAAACGCGCGTTGTCGTCAACGTGTTAATGCTGTAGGACACGAGCGAATCTCGCCGTAAAATTATCTGTGGTAATCGCATAACAGCAGGTTCTAATGCCGTGACAGGCTCTGACGCGACAATACTCCTACGTTCCTTAACATAACATAACATCCCTTATAACGCGCTCGGACCCGAGGTAGCAAATTAGATCAACTGACTCATGTCCTCTGTGCTCAGAGTAAATTATAAATTTTTAAGCACCACCCTGAATCTACCGTTTCCATGAATAGTTTGTGCTTTGCTCACCCTACAAGTGATCACTTTGCCCAACAGTCCTTCAGCACGTTCCAGGCCTTCATTGAATTCCCGGTCAGGTGACTGAATTCCATCAGATTCACTTGGAACCCTGAAATCAGCTTGTTGAGTTGAATTTATTTTATACAAAATATATATCCAAAGTTAGCATGTGTGACAATCGCACATTATGAGTAACGGACAAGGCGACTGCGATTGGTGCACTGCTCAGAGCACCAATCCCAGCCATTTCCGGAACGGGTCCAGAACTCACGCACTCACTTCATTAGGCAGCAGAATATGGGAATCCTAATAGGGACTTGTCGAATAGGAGATCACACTAACAACCAAACAAACATTTCTCAATTACCTATAGATTTGTACATGAAGGCGGCCGGCAACCTCACCCTGATGCGAGATGATAGGAACCTGTAAAAAAAACTTTGTACGAGACTATTCCCCATAAACGCAGTATTTGTCAATATAACAGCGAATCAAAACTACAATTCGGTGCTAACTTAGTTGGGGGGGGGACCACGCGGCGGCGCGGCGCTCTGTTCGTCTGCTCCTCCAAGGCTTAGTCCGCCGATGGCGCGTATTTCGAAACTGCCACGTGGCGACGAAATACACTGGTGTGCAAAACTTAGGGACGAACGTAGCTTTTCCAACGACGTGTTACTGGCGCGTAACATGACTCTATGGAACCTAACCACACATACAAAGAGCTGCCACAGGGCACTAAAGAAAGCAGTTAACAGGAACCGTTAAACGGTCCACAAAGCTATCAAAAGGTTATGATACTTCATCTGTCTCGTCCTTAAGTTTTGCACACCAGTGTAGTAACTGCCCCTTGAACTAAGCCTAGAGGAGCAGACGAACAGAGCATCGCGCCGCCCTGTGGTCCCCCCCCCAACTAAGTTAGCACCTACAAGTCTTTCTAATCCGAAAGCTACAGTGATCAGGAGATAGACCAATATTATTCCGGAAGAAATAGGAAGGGTTGGAAGCAGAGTCAACCCTGCGTTGCGCAGTTCGCAACGGCACGTTGAGAGATCCTCAACGCACGCTGTATGGGCGGAGACACAGACGGCTCGAGCATGCGAGTGTG